AAAATTAATGTTAAAGTGTACATTTTCAAGACAGTGAATACAGTCATATATTATATATTTATAACAAAACATGGAAAAAGACATATATATTTTTTATATTATAATATAATATACCTTTTTAATTATATAATTAAAAAAGGTAGGAATAATGTACAAGTATAGTTTAAATGTTTTAATATCAGCGGATGTTTTAAAATCATTCTCTCATATAAAAACATTTCATTTGGAAAAATGAGATGTTATGAAGTAAATTTTTTTAGCGTGTATTTTAAAAACTTATTGTTATGCGGACATAGATGGAAACTTGAAGATAAACTTGAATGTTCCCAAAACAACTTGTTGTGTAAAGATAATATAAAGAATATTTGCTAACACTAAAATATCGCCAAATCTACGAATAAACAAATTCTATTGGTTCAAAAAATACGCTGAATAAGCGAATTAGAGTTCCATAATATTCTGAAGAAACTTTCTTAAAAATGTATTGCTTGAGTTGTAAAAGTAATAAATAAATCTTTGAGATTTCTATTGTAAATTGTTTTAAGAATATATTATCAAACAAAACTGATTAAATTAACATTTAAATTAATAAAAGAAATATATTATAATCTTTGATAAATTAACATTTGTCAAACAATAATCGTCATAATTACGATGTTACTTTCTATAAAATTTCGTAAAATTTTTAAGTCGGTTTCTATTATTCGAAAATAGATATTTGATATTGGAACAAAATCCATTAACCGCAAAACCAGATAACCGGCGAAATCACTAGTGCTACCTATTTTATACGCATTTTCTCAAGGATTCCTTCACGCAAAATTAATGTCTGAGGGAATCATATTGTTGCAATCATTAATGATTGTGTAAATAGAATTTGTTTCAAATTGTTAATAGTTATCCAAAGGGTATTGTTGAAGTGATTAAATTGTTAATAGTTGTCCAAAAGGAATATGAAAACAAAAAGGTGAAACTTTCTCTTCATAAAATGAAATTTATGTTGGAAGGTTTAAATGTTTAATCTGATTAAAATGAGCGTTTATATATTTTTATTTTAATAAAATTTTATAATTTTTTTTATGCTTATAACAAGCCTCGGCATGTCTATATATTATGTAAATATATATGTATTATATATATATATATATATATATATATATATATATATATATATATATATATATATATATATATATATATATATATATATATATATATATATATATGTATATATATATATATGTATATATATATAATATATATATATATATATATATATATATATATATATATATATATATATATATATATATATATATATATATATATATATGTATATAAATATATCCATATATTATATCTATCTCTATATATTTATATATATATATATATATATATATATATATATATATATATATATATATATATATATATATATATATATATATATATATATTTAATACATATATATTTTTATATATCTTTAAATGTTTAATCTGATTAAAATGAGCGTTTATATATTTTTATTTAAATAAAATTTTTATAATTTTTTTTATGCTTATAACAACCCTCGGCATGTATATATATATTATCTAAATATATATGTATTAAATATGTATGTATTAAATATACAGTTGACTCTCGATATCTCGAATACTTGATATCTCGAACTTTTTTAGCGGTCCCATGGACATAACGTACTAGTTTAGGCTAAAATCCTCTCGATATCTCGAACCTTAATATCTTGAACTTTTTGGTATCTCAAACAATTTTTTCGGTCCACAGGGCAATTTTCTCTCGTTATCTCGAACTTTTCAATATTTTTTTTTTCAAAAATGTTTTAATAAAATTTAATTTTTTTAAATTCCAATTTTAGAAAAAAAATAAATTTTAATTCGATTTTTAAGTTCAATTTTTTTTAAGAATCAAATTTCTGAAAAGTTTTCCTTTAATATATTAATTTATTATTTTTGTCAAATGCAACAACATACCGCTTGTTAAACGAAAACTCACGAACAAATCTATAATGGAAAAATGCAAGGCATTAAAAGAGACAGGGATGTCTAACAAAGAGGTTGCCAAAAAGTATGGAGTCCCAAAGAACACATAATCAACCTGGATTAAAAATAAAACCAAGTTATTAACCTCACTGGAAAAAAATGGCACAAAATCTAAACGGAAGAAACTTCGTAGTGGTAATTTTAAAAGTGTAGACAAGGCCATATATACGTGGTTCATTGCAAAAAGAAGTCAACAAGTACCAATTGATGGTATCATACTAAAAGAAAAGGCACTAAAATTCGCAGAAGCATTAGGAGAGTTGGATTTTAAAGCATCTGATTGTTGGTTTTATAATTGGAAAGAAAGGTCAGTTAAATTTTGTCAAATCTTGTTCAATTTTAATATAAACAAATAACATGTATCTGTTTATATTTAATTTATTTATTTTTTTAAACTTGTAATTAAAATTCAATTATTCTGTTTCGATTTTTAGGAACGGCATCAGCTTTAAAATAATCTCAGGCGAAAGTGCCGCCATGACAAATAATATGACTGCTTTGTGGAATGAAACTACACTTCCAACATTGCTTTTGAATTACTTGAACTTGAAAACATTTTCAATGCCGATGAGTTTGGACTATTTATTATAAGTATTAGACGTATTGTATATTACTATTTATTATAAGTATTAGGTGTATAGTATAGTATTAGGACGATTCAAAATGCTTCACTATACAGCTCAAAATACGGAAATGAAATACAATCCCTAGCACTAAAACTTGAGGGTTTAATGAAGATGGAAAAGATGGATAATTTGAAGCAGTATCAGATAACAGATTTTTTCCAAAAGTTGTAGTTTTTGTTGTTAATGATTTTTGTCAGAAAAATAACTTGTTTTAATGAAAGTCGGGCAATTTTATTTATTTTCAACCCTTTTCTTGATATCTCGAACTCTTGATATCTTGAACTTTTTTTCCGGTCCCCTTTATGTTCGAGATATCAAGAGTCGACTGGTAGTACCAGGGACATGGTGGGGATCGAACTCGGAACCACTTGTTTATGAAGCGAGCGCTCTACCACTACACCACTACCGCATATACTTAACACCTGACACAGTAACTTTATTGAAATAATTCCATAAAATTGTAGCTTTTATAGGCATGATTATATGATTGAGAATTACTATGGTTTTTAAACAATAAATTAATTAGTTTTGCAAAATATTTTAAGTTAACACAACAATATCGCATTTAAAATGTTATATAATATAATTTGAAGTATTTAATTCAAACAATGATTTCAAACTCTTCATGCGAGTTTATAAACAAATACATAATTTATGTCTGATGAACCTAAAGTTAAAATTTTATTACAGTAAAACGGTTTTCCTGTAATAAAATTTTAACTTTAAGTTCATCAGTTTTACTAAAACCTACCTACAGAAGACAATATCTTTTTTTAACTTCGTTAGATGCGCTAAGCCTTATGAAAATGATGCTATTGCATTGCTTTGTTAATACATTTTTTTAGTTAAACTTTGATTTACGAAACATTGAGTTAGTAAGTATTAAACGTAAAAGTTTATGTATTGCTCGAGGGCATGGGAATCGTGAAATATCTGTTTGGGCGGGGAGTTATGAAATATTCCGTAAAAACCGATAAGAAACGAAACAATTTTATTGTGTTTCGTAAATAACGGTACAAATCGAAAAAATAATTTCACGTTTCGTAACAACATGATACGAAACGAAACAAGATTTACGTGTTTCGTATAAATGCGATACAAAACAAAATGATATTTTTTGTGTCGTAAAAACGGATTGAAACAAATACTCACATTTTTTACCGTTTCATACCAAACTTCCAAGAGAATACGAGCAGACGCAGACCCTTAATTCCGATTTTTTGTTTAATAAACATTCTTGGTTTGTATGTGTAATTATTTCAAATTTTTCTTGTAGACATAGTATGCATTTTTTGGAAATATTGTTATATGCAGGCACTGTTTAAGGATGGACCAATTCAGTGTAAAATCATCAATATTTTTATCTTTTAATTTCCATATATATTTTGACAGCATGGTGTCTTTTGAATACTTTTTATTTTTTATTTTTTTTATTTTTAAAAGATTGCTTATGATTGGCAAATTGTTTTTTCCATTCACCTTCTGTTATGCCAATTGTTTATCAGGTACATTTTTAGAGCAGACAACACATTTATATACCACATTTTTTGATTAGCAACTTCCACTCATTGGACAATTGTTTTTTCGTTTACAATTACAATTTTCTGTAGTTTTTTTTATGTTGGATTTCTTTTTTCTTTAACAAAGCATTGTTGTGACCTTTTATAATTCTTTCTATATTTTTTGTGCAACTGTAGCTAACTTTAATAGTATTTCGAATAAAAATTTTATGTAACTTATTAGAGGGCGGGAAATGCTTATCGATCAATTTTAAAAACACTTTTCCTATGTTTGTGGAAACCATTTTGCTATATGGGGGGTTGAACCAAATTACAATTCTAGTTCTATTTCGCTTTTTTGTATTCTTTTTTTCAGGGTCAAATTTTAATTCAAAGTTTTCAAAACCACTTTTTTTATTTCTGCTCCATCATAACTGCCCATTGTTACATCGAAGCAGTTATGTATGTTTTTCTTTTTCCAAGTTTCCTTATTAAAATAAAGTAAGGTTTTTCTACAATGTTTTATTATGCAAATTGTTTCTTCAGGAATAACTGTGTGGCTTTTTGCAATTGTTTTATCTAAAATATCTGCAGTTATTGACGGGTTAAAATCATTAATATCATATTGAATAAATGTACAGTCATTTTTATTATCGATTATGGAGAACCAATTTATAACATCAGTAGTATTTTTCCACTGTTGCAAATTTAATTTATTTCTAAGAATATTATTATTCTATCAATATTTTAAATTTAGTAATTTTATATATGTATATTTATATATTTATATACATATATTAAAATTTTCTTTAAAGGTAATGGAAACTTATATATTGTAATGGATTACTGTGAATCAGGTAAGACATTGTGTTGTATCAACAGAGTTTTTAACTCTTTTAACTCTTATTTTCTGTCATTAAGTTTGATATGAATTGTTAATTTTAGTATATATATATTATATATATATATATATATATATATATATATATATATATATATATATATATATATATATATATATATATATATATATATATATATATATATATATATATATATATATATATATATATATATATATATATATATGTATATATATATATATATCAATATATATACATTTATATATGTATATATATACATACATATATATATATATATATACTTTTGTATATATATATATATATATATATATATATATATATATATATATATATATATATATATATATATATATATATATATATATATATATATATATATACTTATGGTATGGAGGGAGCCTAAAAACCATACAGATGACTGCTATTATTGCTTGACCCCACCCATTAAGGCAGGCTTGTCAAAGAAAAAAATAGGTACAGTTAAATATCCAAATCTTCCATCTGGCATTTGACCTATTCTACATCCGGATAGTTTACCAGTTTCTACTCCACCACAAAGCAGAAAATGAAGGCGGAAATGAAGTAGAAATAGAAGAAAATAAAGAAAACAAGCCTTACACATCAAATAATCCTGGTTTTGTGTGAACAGATGATGTTCCACACAGATTAAGTCAAATAGAACTAGATAATCTTGTTCAAGATCTGAATATGTCACAGGAAGAAGTAAAACCTCTAGGGTCAAGACTAAAGCAGTTGAATCTTCTCCAATTTAATGTCAAGGTTTTACATTACAGAAAACCGCAGCAGAATCTGCTTTCTTTTTATGAGAAGAAAAATAATCTTGTTGTTTGCATTGATGTCTTTAGATTAATGTATTGTCTTTATTTGAACTATTATCCAACTGAATGGAGATTATTCATAGACTCATCTAAACTAAGGTTGAAAGCTGTATTACTAAACAATGGAAACCGTCTTCCTTTTGTTCCTATTTGCCATGCAGTTCACATGAAAGAAACTTATAAACATGAAAGTTCTCCTCAACATAATTAATTACGATGAACACAAACGGAAAAGCGGTGATCTAAAAGTCATTGCTATACTTTTAGGAAAGTAATTAGGGTATACTAAATACTGCTGCTTTTTGTGTATGTGGGACAGTGGAAACAGAAGTTCACATTATATAAAAGAAAACTGGTCTGCAAGAAATCTCAACACAGATGAAAAAAATGTTATTGCTGAACCATTCATGGATCCAAAAGATGTTCTTTTTCCACCATTACATATTAACTTGGGTTTAATGAAAAGTGTTAGGTATGAACAAAAAAGGACAGGCTTTTAGGTATTTAAGAAACAAATTTCTAAAAATAAGTGATGCAAAGGTTAGAGTATTTTTGTTGGGCCACAAATATGTCAACTTATGAAGGATCCTGCATTTGACGAAGTTTTGAAAGGGCAAGAAAAAGAAAATGGGGAAGCTCTTAAGAGAGTGATTTGTGGATTTTTAAGCAACAAAAGAGATGATAACTACATTTAATTGGTAACAGTACTTCTGCAAAAATACCATCAACTTGGATGTAACATGCCCCTCAAGATTCATTTCCTCCAATCACACCTAGACTTCTTCCCCCCTTCCCCAGTTGTGAAGCTGTGAGTGATAAAAATGGGGAAAGATTTCACCAAGGTATTTCTGTAATGGAACTAAGGTATCAGGTTCATTGGAATGAGGCTATGTTAGTAGATTACTGTTGGTTTGTGTGTAGGAATGCTCCAGAACTAGTCTACAAAAGAAAAGTAAAAAGATCACGATCTTATGACAATACCCCATAATCATCTTTATACCTAATAGCTTGGTGATCATGATTTCTTTGTTTAAAACTGTTAGAATATAACTGTAATAAAAAAACAAACAAATGTACTTTAAATATTATTAGAGAATGTAAATTATATGTCATATTGCTCTGTTGCAGTTTATCCAAAATAAAAATTTATTGTTATTGCATATCTCAGAAACAAAAGCTAAGTTTTCTTTGTTGTCATTTTCTTTTTTCTTAGCCCAAAATTAGTATAATTTGAATAAAATTGTTAAAGATACAAAAAAAATATGTATTATATTGTTGCCCTGTGTTATGTAATACAAAAAGTTATACATAAAAGTATATGCATGCATTACATATATATATATATATATATATATATATATATATATATATATATATATATATATATATATATATATATATATATATATATATATATATATATATATATATATATATATATATATATATATATATATATATATATATATATATATATATATATATATATATATATATATAGAGAGAGAGAGAGAGAGAGAGAGAGAGAGAGAGATTTGTATATATATAAATCAGAGTTGCTTTTAGGTTTACATAGACAATTAACAAGAACATTGATTTTAAAAATTAATACTGAAAAGTTTTTTATTTTAGCAACAGTTTTGTTATGACTTAAAGCTGCAATTTATTTTAGGTGACTTGCATCAAATGATTATTAATCAAAATGATGTTAAAATTGAAGAATCAAAGGTAAACATTGTGATATATGCTTATGAGATATTTAATATACCTTATATCTGATAAGCAACTTAATAAAGGCTTTCTAATTAACAAGAATTTTTCTTTAAAATGGAGCAAAAAAAAAAAAAAAAAATTCTAATTTTTTGTTAGATAATTGAATAGTTTTCTTTTCCAATATATTACACAAAATTTCCTGTAAGTGAAAATCCACTGTAATGGTGATTAATAGTTATAAAATGATTCTAAAATCTGCATATAAATGTTGCAGCAATTACAGTTCTTAAATACCATTAAAAATAACTTAGACATAAATAAGCATATATAAGACATGAAATTAAAATCAATAAAATAATACAGTTCTATTAGTCATTATACCATTAAGAAATCAACATTACTGCATAGAAAATTAGTATTACGCTTACAGTATGTTTCCACTCTCAAGGCTTGCTTTGGAAAACCATCTGTCATTTTTATTTTTGAAAGAAACATTTATTCTTTGTATTATTTTAAAGTTTAACACGGTTAATAGATTTGTAACCAAAAAATAAAACATTTTATTTTGAAATCATTTCTCAAAATGAAACTAAACTTGATAATATTAACTAAAATTTTTTCTATACAAACACACACCAATTTTTTTATATTTTATTCAAACACACACACACACCAAGTTTTTTATATTTTATATACACACCTGTTACACACAGACCCACATCGACTCAAAATTTAAGTCTTTATTAGATTTAAAAAAGTAATTTAATGATCTAAACACTAAAAAAGGTTTTTAAACTCTCAAGCACATTTTAACATTTCTATATTAAGATGATTCTCAGTCGTTGAAAAAATGTTGAAAAAATGTAGCAAAATGCGTCTTAATTTGAGAAACTTGGCCTGGTAGATCCCCCTCAATAGCTTTATTGAAGTGAAGATTCTTTTTGATCAAAAAGTGTATAAGAGTGTACAGATGACAGATCTCTACAATAAGTTTTTATTTTTCCAAATCATTTATGTAGATTTGCATCAATATTTTGCATTTCTCCCTTAGGATAGATGCTTTAACTTCATTTGACCTACTATTAGATTCTGAGAATTATATAAAGGAAAAAGTGTTTGTTTTTTTTTCTGCAGCTTGAAATTTGTCTCTTATCGTTAAGTAAGAGCATTGTGTTGATTAAATTCACCTCAAATTGTTTTTCGTTGTCTTTGTACAAATAAGCTTTATTCCTGAATTCTTGATAAAAGTTTTTCTTGATAAAAGTTTTTCTTGAGTTTGATTGAAAGCCATAACATGACTAAAGGCAATTAAATTCATTAATAAAGTTGGCCTAAGAAGATTGCATTCTAGTGAAATTTTCTAATTGATTAAGATTACAAAGCTTCTGCAAAGATACACAAGCTTCCTTAGGATGCTTAACCAATGGCTTCACAGTTTTGATAAGTGCGCCCCATTAAATTTATGAGGTTTAGTTAAAGGACAAACCAAAGTCATCTTAGTCAAGACTCATTTCCACTGAAGATCCAGCAGAATGAACACCAGCAAAATTAATGTGATGAGCATGCTTGTGACCTTAAGACCTCTAATGAAGTGTATTCCTTTGTACAAATTTAGGTGTTGCTGTATTGTTCACAACTAAACAGCTGACATCTAGTGAATAGTGAGCTAATCAGTAGTGAGCTAATCAGATAACCAAGTTTTTTTTTTTAAGTTTTTTTTTTTAACTTCTTCGCTTCCAACAAGGCTGCAAGCAACCACTATTAGTATTGGAAGTTACTGAAGATTGTAGAGCAAAATAACAATTGACAGACGACTTAAAAGATTGCAAATTATATAAATCAGAAAAGCAAGCGAATTCCAAAGAACTGATGTTTGAGGAAAAAAACAAGGCAAATAAGAGTTTTTGAAACACTTAGGAACAGTCACAGAAAAAGAATGAGACTTAATTAAATGACAAGTGACACGAGGATCAATTTTAGTAAATGGCACAAAAGAAACTAGCTCTTTAGAGCAGTCCCCATTATATTATTTGTAGAAAAAAGAGAAGCAATATTACGACAATGTGATAATGGTTAAAGGTTGCTTGCAAGAAAAGGTCCAACTATGATTACAATGCGTTTTTGCACCTTGTCTAAAAAAGAAAATGCATCATTAGAAGATCCGGCCCAGATATGGCAACAGTATTCTATACAAGGCCAGATTTGAAATTTACAGAGATAGAGAATAGAATCCAGAGTAATATATATATATATATATATATATATATATATATATATATATATATATATATATATATATATATATATATATATATATATATATATATATATATATATATATATATATATATATATATATATATATATATATATATATATATATATATATATATATATATATATATATATATATATATATATATATATATATATATATATATATATATATATATATATATATATATATTTTATATTTTCATGTCCTGCCGCCTTGTAGGATACACCTTTTTAGGCAAAGGCCAAGAGATGCCAACTCTGACATAAAAAACCCTCTGCCTTGGGGCTCTTGGTTGAGTAAAGGCTAGAGATGGTGTCTCGATAAAAATACTCATCTTGGGCAGATGTTAAATGCATCCGGTTGCTGTATTGTTGAAGGCCTCCAAAGGCACCCCTTTTTCATCTATTAGGCTGGCACAGATGTATTTTTAATACATTGTTTCCAGTTTAGGATGTTAAATGCTGGATCTTCTTGACTCGATGCATGGGTTTTGCTTGTGTCTCTTGTGTTTTTATGACTAGGCAACTCATTCTTTTATCTCCTAATGAGAATACAGCTCTAAAACTCAGTTTTATGGTTCTGAGGCCAGCTGGTAGTCAGGTTTCCCGAACTCTGTGGTAGCTCTCAGAGAGGCTGATTCCATCAACAGCTGAAAAATATCAAAGTACTAACAGTACCATGTTGCCCATGGATGGTGTCCCTGTTTGTACTTTTGGTGTGCATTGCCAAGGCCACATTAGAGCCCTTTGTTATGGCTTAGGGTTTAATAATAGTCATGAGGCAATTGCTTGGGCTATTAAACAGTGTACTGAGTACTATCTATGTTTCGAGTCAAGTTCATTAACAAATGTAAAAATGAAGAAAGTAACAAAAACTATAAAATACAAAAAACCACTGTCATCATCAAGTTTGCTAAACCTAATATTTGTGGTCTTTGAAGTAACTTTTCTTCTGTTGAGTCTTATATCTTGCAAAGTTCATCAGACCTACTTGCTCTTTGTGAGACTAATTTTAGTTCAGGTGTCTCATTTTGTAATCTTATTGTTGATGGTTATCTACCTTTAATTCGTAAAGACTCCAATGGTCACATGCTTAGCCTGGGCATTTACATTCATAAGAATTCACCAATTTGTCAGGAAACTAGGTTTGAATCCACAGACTACTCTTTCATGTGCTTTCGTTTAGCACCACTTTGCTCTATTACCTTTCTCTTTGTTCTATATCGCTCTCCTTCATATCAAGACTGCACTCTTCTTGATGTTATTTCTGATTATATTGACCAAGCCCTCATTCTTTATCCATCAGCCAATATTGTTGTTGTCCGTGACTTTAATGTTCATCACACTGAATGGCTTGGCTCTAGTGTCAGTGACTCTGCAGGCATTAAGGCCCACAACTTTTGCCTTTCTCAATCCCTAACTCAAATAGTCAACTATCGAACTCGCTTTTCAGACAACCCGAATCATTTACCTTCTCTACTCGACTTATGTCTTGTTTCTGATCCTAGTCAGTGCTCAGTTTCTCCACACTCACCCTTAGGTGCTTCTGATCATGGTTTGGTCTCTCTAAAACTGTTATCTCATTCTTCTTTATCATCAGAATCCCTCTATCATTGTACATCTTACAGCTACTTTAAAGCTGACTGGGACTCTTTCCGTTATTTTCTTCGTGATGGCCCTTGGGTAGAAATCTTTCGTTTTCCTGTTGACAAATGTGCTTCTTATATTACTTCTTGAATTCAGGCTGGCATGGAATCCTTTATTCTCTCAGGACAATTCCAGGTCAAGCCTTACTCTTCTTCATGGTTTTCCTCACATTGTGCTGCTACAATTGCCAATCGAAACCATTACTTCCATATCTATTAGCAAAACAATTCTCCAGAAAACAAACATCTGTTTTTTACTGCTAGAAACCATTGTAAAAACGTTTTGTTTAACGCCCAAGCCTGCTATTCTCAGATCATGAAATCTCGTATTTCAACCCAAAAATTAGGCTCTCGTGACTTCTGGAGAATCTTTAATAGTATCAATAATACGGGCAAGTCTGTAATTCCACCTCTTTGTATGGTTCAGACTTTGTCACCTCACCTAAAGACAAAGCTGAATTGTTTGCTAAGAACTTTTCATTAATATCATCTCTTGATTCCACTAGTTGCGTTCTACCTGATATAGCCGTCATACAGGTTGATCCATTGCTATACATTCGTATCACTCCAGCTTCTGTATCTAAAGTGATTTCCTGCTCAGACTCTTCAATAAGTTCAACAAGTACTTATCAGAGTCTTGTTTTCCAGCCTGCTGGAAAGCAGCATCTGTTATCCCTATTTTTAACAATTCTGGAGAGCGATCTGATTTGTCTAACTACTATCCCATTAGTCTTCTTCCTATCATAAGCAAGGTTTTTGAATCTTTAATTAACAAACACTTAATCTCTTATCTTGAATCTAATAACTTACTTTCTGATCACCAATATGGATTTTGATCTACTCGTTTTACGGCTGATTTGCTAACAGTAATAACCAATAAGTTTTATTGCGCATTAGATAAAGGTGGAGAGGTTAAGGCCATCGCTCTTGATATTTGTAAAGTGTTTGATAAAGTTTAGCATGCTGGTCTTCTGCATAAGCTTTCTTCTTACAGTGTATCTGGAAGCATCTTTAAGATTATTAAATTCTTCCCTTCCAATTGTAGTATAAGAGTTGCCCTTGATGAACAGCACTCTTCCTCAAGGTTCCTCA